GTAAGGCCATGCTGTGCTTTATAGAAAAGATCAGAGACTATATGTCATAACTCAAGGAAAAACGCTGAGAGCGAAACATCAGGAAGAGACCAAAAGGTGATAGAAGCTTCGAAAGTACGGAGCGAGACACCTAAGGCAAAAAGGGGTTCTACTCTATAGAAGATGGTGGAAATGTGTTTTTAGGGTTCAGATCAAGAAGGGTGCTCTCCTTAGTCTGATTTATAGAGATACAGTCCTCATCATTGCGGACCGGTGGGGCGTGTCAGCCAGTATGAGTGTGCACACTGTTGAAGCCGTTCTCAGCCTTTTTGTTGAAACGCGTATGCGACAAAAAGTGGTAGAAAACGAGTAATACGAAGGATATAATACAGTAATGTCACTTGCCCGCTTCAACAACTGGTGCAGAACGACTTTGGCCCCGCGCCAAACGCAGCCGCACTGAACCGCCCCGACAGTACGTAATGATGAGGACTGTACATCCCTGCATTGTTCGAGCTCTGGAGCGTCTTTTTGGAAAGGAACGTGCGTTTCAGCAAGCCTCAAGTAGACGACACAGCGATTTGGGGAACCAGCTATTGCACACTTGCGTGACTAAAGCTCAGTCTTTATTCAATTCACTTTGAAAAATGGAGATGCACATTCCAAACTGTCTTCCACAATAAATGGCTCACAAACCTCTGAGTCCTTTTATGTCTGGAATACTTAAGACTATTGCAGTAATAGAGGAACCTGCACACTAACCTGTTCGAATGACGTTGCATACAACTCAATGGCATTAAAAGTGCAGACGTTTTGCTTATAAACATGGGATGGACCAGTCCGATTAAATTGTTTCATTGAGTGCATAAATGAATGAAGCCTCCGTTTGGAATTTTCCAGAATGATGCAATAAGCAGTCGAGAGTAATTGCCGAAAAATCAAACTATTTAAATAATTTGACTGATTACTGCTACAGCTGTACAAACAACGTATTATTCCTGATAACCCATCTGTACAAGTTTCGTCTAATTAGCTTTTTACCTAATAAAATCAGTTTACAGGTCAATGCAAGCTATTCAACCATTACTGCAAGAAAATTCAAGAATCACTGCATTTTTTGAGGCGTAGTCTTGTTCACTGCGGATGCTGGGGCGTGTCATGTGGCCTGTCCGGGGTCGGCGCTCCTCCAATCCGTTCGCCCCCAATTGTTATCACTTGCAGTGCCTCAACAATTGGTGGAGAATAGCTGGGGCTGACCATTCCATTACCCCTCCCACGCCCCACGCCATCAATGAAAAGACTGTCTATGCATGTAAGCCGCATCCGC